CACACACACTCACACACACACACGCACGCACGCACACACACACTCACACGCACGCACGCACGCACTCACTCACACACACACACACTCACACACAGACACACACACTCTCACACACTCACAGACACACACGCACGCACACACACACACACACACACACACACACACACACACACTCAGCAGCATCTTGTGAACGGATGTGCCGCACCTGCTCCCCCTCTTTTAATGCTCGTCTTGGTATCCTCCGCTGCCCTCGAGATTTTACCCAGAATTCCCCGCTGCACTCTATTTTCCAGTGTGCATGCAGGCAAAGGCAGACGGTCTGAGCGCTCTCCATCTGATGATGTTTGTGATGCACGCTGCTTGTTTCTGAGCGTTCGGCTGCTTTGTGCTCTCAGTCATGCAGCGCAGTGTGTTTCGGCGCACTAAAAGGTGAAATGATTTCCAAATCTGTTTTAAATGTGGTTTTACTACACATGAGGATATCGCTGAGGTCATTGTTTACCTGCAGCCTGTGACACACTAACTGTATTAGTGCAGGAGGTTTAACACGTTAGTGAACGTTCTGATTAATGCATCTGGTTTCATATGATATTTCATGTGTATAGTGTATATATTATGGCGTTTGATTGAATTGAATGAAAATTTGTATTTGAATCTTGTGTGTTTGAGCCAATAACTATGACTCAAAATGAACTACATTTACTTTTTGTTGAGTCTTGTGAGTGTTTTTAGTAACAAAGTCCTGCGAACACTTTTGCTTCATAAATTACTTGATCATTTGAATGTGCTGGTGAATAACTGATCTATTAGCTTCTAGTCTTTGTCTTAAATCCTCCATGATGATGCCAAAAGTCTCAATAGTTGTTGTTCTCGAACGCTGAAATTAGGAGGTACTGTCTCTTTAAGAGAGGTACCGTGTTTTTAACGTTGACATGAAATAATAGACTGAATTTTTATTTTATTTAATTTTTTAATGGAAGTTTATTGAATCTTTAGACAAAATATTGGGAAAATGTTTTTGTTGAGTATCATATTTGATACATTTAGTCTGCTATAGTGAAAATAGAGTTTTATTCAGAGGCCCAAACTGAGCAAAAGCAAAACTATGCAATTTGGTGCATATACTGATATTTATATGGCCAAAAAGTAAGATGGGATTGTGATCAATGAGATCTTTATAACAGGTATAACAGATTACTTACATAAAATGAAATAAATATCAGTTGTCACTCTATATATCCCAAAAAAATGTCTTAGTAAGATGATATTTAATTGCTTAGTTTAATGAGCAAAACATACAGTGGGTACGGAAAGTATTCAGACCCCCTTAAATTTTTCACTCTTTGTTATATTGCGTGCAATACAAGGATGACTGAAAGATTAACAAATCAACGTTCCTCAAAAGATGAGATGTGAGATGTTTTGGAGGCTTGTGAAGATCATTCCTCCACTGAGGAACAGTGAAAGTAAAGCTTCTAGAAACAAACGTTTAGAAGTGGCGCTGTCACTTTAAGAGAGATCATGTGTCTTTAATAAGGACGCTGTCTCTTTAAGAGAGGGACGGGGTCTCGGGTTGCTCTGTTCAGGATGATCCCTAAAGACCGTTAACTAACCGCCAGTCTACACTTTAGGCAGTTTATTAAGCATTTTTCAGCTGTTTTTCAGCTTTGCTCAGTGTAGCTGATTTCAGCTTTTACTTTCCTTGTGGGGACATTCGCTGCTTACAATGTAGATAAAGCCTGACACACACACATACACACACACACACACACTGTAATGGTGTGTAATGGCTCTCATACAGTCACTCGAGGCGTATCAAGTATCTCTCTTTTACTCTCTCCTCCATTAGCTCTCTCTCTCTCTCTTTATCTGTTTATCTGTATGTCTCTCGTCCAGAGTGTCTCTCTGTTTCTGCAGAGCGCCGGCTCACATCGAGTCAGATTGATGACTGTAGAAATTGAATTTTCTGTATCGCTCTTGTTCTTCTGCAGGGCACACACACACACACACACACACACACAGCAGTTTCTCTGTTCTCGGCTCTGATGTGATTTTGTCTGAACATAATTTGATCTCATCAAGACATCTGATGATGGAAAACAAATCTGAAAACAATTGATTCTTAAAATAAAATATTCCTTTTAATCATTAGAGTTAGGGATGAGCTACGATGGTCGTTTGGTTATATTTATTGATTAGTGAGGTAATGCATTTTTTTATTACAGTTTTATTTGAAGTTTCATTAATTTATTTATTTGTACTTATTAATCTATTTTTAAAGTTTATTTATTTTTATTTATCTATTTATTCTAAGTTTCTTTCATTCTTTCAGTTTGTTTGTTTATTTAATAAATCATTTTTTTAAAGTTTTATTTACTCTTATGGTTTAAATGTTTTATTTTCTAATTGTTTTATTTATTTTTGTCTTTCATTTATTTGTATTTATTTGGTGAATTAAAGTTTTATTTAAAATGTATTTATTTATTATTTTTTAAAAGTTTATTTTACTCTATTTTATTCTTTTCTCTTTTTAAAAAAATTGTATTGTATCGTATTTTTTATATTTTTATTTTTATTTATTTATTCATTTTAAAGTTTCTTTTCTTTTTAAATGTTTTTTTTATTTCTTTTACTCTTTTATTTCTTTTTTCATTTATTTTTTGTTTTTATTTGTATTTTATTTATTTAGTTTTCTTGTTATTTATTTATTTAAATGAAATTATTTATTAAATTAAAATTTTTTAGCGATTGTGCATTAATTGTGCTGATCTGTAGCGGTTTCTTTATTTCCTCTGATTGTCTCACATTTGATACTCTTTAAATGCTTTATTAATTGAATTAAACCATTGAATTCTCTGTTTGTGTGTCTGCAGTTGCCGCAGTAACCGGAAGAGTTTGATTCTGACCTCCACCTCCCCGACTCTGCCCCGCCCACATTCCCCGTTACCGGGGCACATCGGTGAGTGGCCACACCCCCTGCTGGAAAACCAGTCGCTGTGGAAACACAGATGCTGATGTGTTTGCCGATGCATATTCTGCTTACAGACTAACTGATATGCTTTTCCTACATGATTGAGTTTTGATCTTAATTGAGCTTCATCTGTTGTTCCTGTCCACACAGGAAGTAGTCCTCTGGACAGCCCTCGAAACTTCTCGCCCAGCACTCCGGCACATTTCTCCTTCGCTTCCTCAAGACGGTAAAACAAACACACACACACACTTGGGAATAAAACCATAGCATAAACACTTCTGCAGCTTCTGCACTCTTTGTCTCTGTAGGGATGGGCGTCGATGGTCACTGGCGTCTCTTCCATCTTCTGGTTATGGAACAAACACTCCCAGCTCAACGGTAAACACATGTAGAGGTGTGACGAACACACATCAGATGAGCAGCAAACACAGCTGAAGACTGTCTTCACTGTACAGTCGGAGACAGTGGTAGTTTAGTATTTTTTATATCTTATTATAGTTTTTAATAATATTTTAAATGAGTTTTTATTTTTATAGTTTACGTTTTCATTTTTAAATTTCAGTTAATTTAGTAATTTTGTTGTGTGGTTTTGACTATTTATATAAAAAAGTGTTTTGTAATAAATAGTCTAGAAATAAATAATAATAGTTATTATATGATTTAATATTGTATTATGTGATATAAGTATTTTAAATTATTATTAAACCAAGGACAATGATTTGATTTTACCTGCATTTAATTCACATCTGAAATATATATTTTTTTCCAAAAATAAACTATAAATAAAATAAAATATATAATTATAATATATATATATATATATATTGTATGGTAATAGTCAAAGAACGTATATTTTTATGCATGTATTTTTTTATTTATATGTTGTCGTTATGAATGTGTTCTTTTTATTTTTTTGTTGTTGTTGATGTTTGTTTTTTCTTTGTAATAATTAAATAAGCATTGATTTGCTGATTGCTGTTTAAAGCAGTCCTCATGTCAGGACTAGATCTATGTTCCCTTAAAATGCTGTCTTTGTAGGCGGCTCACTAGGGACTGGAACTGATGCTTCCTGATAGTTTACAGCCTGCTCATGCCTTCCTTCTGTCACAGTTTATTGAGATGTGAGTCTGTGTGTTTATCTGCAGTCCTCCAGCTCGTCTCAGGAGAGTCTGCACCAGCTGCCGTCTCAACCCACCATGGACGAGCTGCACTTCCTGTCCAAACACTTCGGCAGCACAGAGAGCATCACTGATGATGACGGCGGACGCTGTTCACCCCACATAAGACCCCGCTCACGCAGCCTGAGGTCTTGATAAGCCTGTCTGTGCCTCATTTTGCAGCGCACTGCAAAGTGATCACTGTGGTTATCTGACAAAGCTGTGGTTTCTCCATGTTCTTCAGAACATTGCGTTTGGGTTTCAGTTCTCTGCGAGAGAGCCAGGCTAGTCACTCTCAAAACGGCTGAAACTGCACATTCATCATTCAGCCTCTCCCGTTGGGGCTCAGACTAGGTTTGCATTTGCAAGATTGTGTAGATTCACAAGTGTATGCTATGAAGTAGCAGTGGTGCTTGTCTCTGATCTTTAAGAGGGGATTTCGCACTAGGGAGATGAATTGCTTTTGACCTAGTTATTCTCCTGTGACCTGTTGTGGATAGAGGTATGTTCGCTCGCTGTGTTTACAGTACATAAGAGGCATTAGCAGGAACCTAATGGTTGGTGTTGTGAAGAAACATTGCTAGTGTCAACTCATTTAAAACTTAATCAGTGAGTTAGCCAATGCTACATATGGAGTCAGATTTTAATTTATGTGATAATATATATGATAGGCTACATACAAACTCTGCCTGTCCATAATTACTGGTATAACGAGATAAATGACATAAAGCTACGTGAGAACGGTAGAATCGATAGCTCTGACTAGGAGCTTTTGGGGGCGTCTGTTTTGTGCATGTTATCTCAGAGGTCTTATCTGATTGCTTGGAAATGACAAAGTTAGCAGCGACTACAGTGATGCTATCAGCATATTACAGTCTAATTACAGCAAGTTTTTGCAAGCATGTAATATTTGATATTTAATGTTTAATATTTCATATTCAGAATTTAAATATAATGAAATGTTGACTATTAAATGTATGATATATATTATAATATATGCCCATATATATGTGTGTGTGTAGCCTATACATAAACGTATGAAAGTATTACTATATATTAAACACATTTAATGTAAAGTATACATTTATAATCATTTATAATACATTTAATATATACTTTATTTATATATTAAATTCATATATAAATATGTGTGTATATAATTATAATATATATATATATATATATTGTATGGTAATAGTCAAAGAACGTATATTTTTATGCATGTATTTTTTTATTTATATGTTGTCGTTATGAATGTGTTCTTTTTATTTTTTTGTTGTTGTTGATGTTTGTTTTTTCTTTGTAATAATTAAATAAGCATTGATTTGCTGATTGCTGTTTAAAGCAGTCCTCATGTCAGGACTAGATCTATGTTCCCTTAAAATGCTGTCTTTGTAGGCGGCTCACTAGGGACTGGAACTGATGCTTCCTGATAGTTTACAGCCTGCTCATGCCTTCCTTCTGTCACAGTTTATTGAGATGTGAGTCTGTGTGTTTATCTGCAGTCCTCCAGCTCGTCTCAGGAGCGTCTGCACCAGCTGCCGTCTCAACCCACCATGGACGAGCTGCACTTCCTGTCCAAACACTTCGGCAGCACAGAGAGCATCACTGACGATGACGGGGGACGCTGTTCCCCCCACCTA